GCCCTTCCCACACACTTGGTCTTGCACATGTCCTCTATCTGGATGCTCGCCCGTGTCCCCTGCCATGTCCTTTCTTCACAGGAACTGGTAAATGGTAAGGGCATGGCTTCCCCAGTCCTGGGAACCGCGCTAGGAAAGCGGCGGAGCCTAGGAGGGGTGGTGGGTGCCCCGATGCACGGCCTGCTGGGTCTCATTCTCCCTGTGATTATGATTGCTCCCCCGGGTTCCCTACCAACCTCCGTGCTCACTGAGCCTCCAGCTTACTCATCTGCAGGTGGACTCATGATTTCCTGTCGTAGTCGATGGATTTAACCTTTACTGACAGGACATACTCTGAAGCTCAGCCGGGCCTGATTGGCTGGGAGTGGGGTTCACGCCTCCTTGGATCTTTGCTTCCAGGTCATCTTGCGGGGCATGGTCCCAGCCCGGGTGCCACCTGCTGCTGGCTGCTCCCCAGGGAACCCAGTCCCTGCAGGGGTTCAGCGACCTTAAGAGCCAGGATTGGGGCATTGGCGAGCTTGCTGTTTTTGGGGTATTATGGCTGACCAACCCTCCCTGTGGGGACAGCTGTGGGTATCTCAGTTCCCCAATCCCACTCAGCACTGTGGCTCTTCCCTTTGTCCCTCGACACTTCTCACCAACTCCCATCCATCTTACTGTATGTACGTACTGGACCAAACCCCCTACCTGTGTCCAGCCTCCCGTCATCTTCACAGCCCCTGCCCCAGGCACCTCCTTCTCCCCACAAACCTTCTTGGCTCCACCCTCCAGTGGCTCCCTCTCTCTTGGGTGCAGCCACCCACATGCAGGTGCACATCTCAGTCTTGTCTGAGTGGTTTCTTTCAGAGACAGCCTCTTCCATGCATTGTACTTACTTATGAATAAATATAAGAGTAACTTCCCCAGGGAAATCACTTGGGTCCAAACAAGGCTGGGCACATGTACCGATTTGTTTTTATACATATATGAAAATGTATGTTAATACGTGCCTGAGTTGATGGCATTCATGAATATATTTGTATAAATGCCTGCGGGTCATGTGCGGAACACGAGGCGTGTCCACACAGCTTAACGACTTTTGTAAAACAAAAACTCACATAACCACCACCAGTGTCAAGAAGTAGAAGTTCATCAGCACCCTGATGTCACCCCTGTGTGCTCTGATTCGGCAAACGGATTGGTGTGTTTTTCTTTACATTCCCTTCTTTTTGTGTCCCAGGAGAAAGGTCCTAACCCAGTGGAAAATGTTGGTAATTGTGACCGTATTGAAACTGGATGTTCTGTTTATTAGAAGACGCCAGGGAAGAGTGCTCTGAGAGCCTCTGAGCCGGACAGGGCCGGGCCATCGAGGGACGGAAATAAGATGTAGACGGAGCCACCAGGGCACCAAGAAGAAACCCATGGCCTGGGAGGAAGGACATGCTCAAGCTAATAAAACAGGCATTTAGCTAGAGGACATGCAAGTGGCAGCACGCATATGACAAAGATGCTCATGTCATGAGTGTCAGGGAGCACAGGCTGGAGCCAGGAGGAGACCCCACCCTGCCTCCCGCAGGATGGCTTAAGGGGAAGGAGACAAGGTGCATGGGAGCTGACATTCCTGCCCTGCTGCCCTGCTCCACTGCTCTTTGGGCCTTGGGCTGGGCTCTAGGGGCGCACCTCGTCTGCCCCTCCAACCACCCCAGGGCTGCTCCCTCTCTGTCTGTAGCCCAGCAGGTGCCTCCAGGGCAGGGCGGTGTCTCTTCTGCCTCAGAATAGCCTCCCCTGGACCTGCCCCCGGGGAAATCGATTGAGGACATCTTCATCTGCAGGTGGGCCCTGCAGCTTGTCAGGGTCAGAGACTTGCCGACCTCCGTTCCCCCCCACCCCCCCCACCCCCGTCTGACCCAGAGTCTCTATTCAGTGGGAGCATGGGGGGACCTGAGAACCCGTGATGAAGAAAGAACATTCTGTGTTTCCAGTGTCTGGAGAAGAAGGTCGGGCTGGAGAATGTGGCCCCTGTGGCCAAGGTGAGAGAGGCTGGAGGCCACCCGCACAGCACCCCTCCTCACACCGTGCACGTACTATGCACACACGTACACACATGCACATGGTCAGTCTCGGCCTTTAGACCTACTTGCCATTCAGCCACTTGGTCTGGATCCTTTGAAACTGGACTGCGTGGGCTAGATGTCAGGAGGGCAGTGGCTGGGGCCCAGCAGGTGGCATGGGGGAGGGGAGGGCAGGGAAAGTCCCTCACCGGAGATGCACATGGAGAAGGACAGGAAGACAGCAAGCTGAGGTGACCGGCTCATTCGTTAAGACAAGTATTTATTGAGCGGCAATTGCCTGCCAGACGCTGTGCAAAGCCAAATAAACAGAGGGAGAGGGAGCTGGGGGATGGGGGCTGAGGGGGCCAGGGAGGGCTGGAGGGGCAAAGACACAGAATGGAAGCCAGAGATCGAGGCTGGACCCACCGCCCACCCGCATGCTGGGGTGACAGTGCCTCAGGCGCCCCGCCCAGCGCGTGCCAGCCCCTCTCCTGAGCCCAAAGGTGGGGAAGACAGCGCCCCTGGGGCATGGCAGCATGCTGCCCAGGAAGGATGCAGACCCCTGCTAAGGGTGCCTTTGCTGGTTGCAAGGCCACTGTACCATTGCGGCTATACGAGCCCAACTGGGCAGGGCATGTTCCACGGAAGAGCTGGGCCACGGCCCCTGTGGTGGGGATGCATTTCCTCCGGGTACCTGTCCCGGGGGTCAGCCAGCTGCTGGTGGCAAAAGCTTCAGGAACAAGAGCAAAGAAGACATTTCGCCCTTACTTACCTGGCCCCGCCCGAGCAGAGTAAAGCCAGCTGGACACCGGGGGAGGGCCTCAGCTCACCCGCACTCCCCAGCTCCCCAGACACCCTCCCCATGATGCTCTGACCCTCACTCCTCCAGGAAGCTGCTGGGCTCTGGTGGGAACCCACTGGCTGTGCCCTTGGAAGCTTTGGGGGCATCCAGGTCAGAGCTGATGCCAGGCTGGGCAGATGTCCAGATGCTCCTCCTGGGGGCCACCTGGAGGGCTCCCTGCTCCCCCTGTATGGGGTGGCCACAATTTAACTCCGTGCAACCTTGCAGGGGCCCCAGCTCGCCCCACCCACATCTTGCCACTGTCTGGGGTCAGGGGTCATGGCATGGCATCCCATGCCTGCTTACTACCCCTCCTGGGCTTCTGGGTCTGACCGGCGGCTGGGGTCCTGCTCACTCACCCACGCACCTCCCAACCACCCAGGCCCTGTTTGCTTGAAGTCCCCATGCCCAGCCTCTTCACACTCTTACCTGGGAAATGCTTCCGCAGATCAGATCTGCTTCTTCTAGGAGCCCTGCCTCAACTGGCCCTCTCACAGACACCCCTGCCTCCCTGCTCTACGTGCCTCAGCACACAGACCTATGGACCCACCAGGATTCAGGTCCCAGCAGCCTGGTCATTTCATAATTGTCTAGTGCCCTCTTGTCCTCACCAGATGCCCAGCCCGGTGTCCCACTCTTTAGCCCCCCGGACACCTTCCTTCTGGTGGATCTTCCCCAGTGGGCACCTCGGATAGAAAACCATGGAGCTCCTGGACGTGCACCCTCAGCTGACCCTGTTGCCACCCTGGAGACTGAGGGCATGGCCCCCCTGCCCCGGGTCTCTTGCCCAGGAAAGACTCCAAGCACCTCACACCCCATTAGGCCCTGCCCTGCTCCTGGCTTGCCCTTCTTTCCCAGGGAGGCCAGAGGGGAACCCCAATGCCTGGCCCCAGGTACACACATCTACCGCATCCCCCAGCGACTCTGCCTCGGTCCCAGGTGAAGGAGAAGTCTGTCTCCTGCTGCCTGGATGCTGCCTCGACCGGGCTCCATCTGCACCTTCTCTGCACCCATGCCCCCCTGAGCGCCCTGGTCACTTCGTCTTCTCCTGCTGACTCTCCATCACCACTGACCCTGAGCCCTGAGCATAGCTTCTTGCTCTGATGGCATCCCCACCTCTCTTCTCCCTTCATGGCCACTTGTTGCCATGTCCCCATCCCTCCAAGCAGAGCTCTTTGCCCCTTGCCTTGTTTCCTTCCTCCACTTCAGGCCCCTAACTTCAATGGGCACCCCTGGCCTCTCCCTCCATGGCCCCCTACACCCCTGGCTTTCCTACGGGGATGCCCCTTCTTCCTGTCAGCCCTCCAGACAGGGGTGGTGCTCCTCGGGTGGTGCTCTTCAGGCCCTGTGCCGGCTGTCACTGCTCAGGCCACCCAGGCTCCCCGCAGAGCCTCCAAACAACAGCTTCAGCCCAGATGGCTCTCCTGCTCCCACAGGGTTCCTCCTGATGTCCCCATATTAGCGCACAGCCCTGGCCAAGTCGGACATGCAGGGATTCCCCTCTGGCTCCTCCCCACCCACTTCACCTGTATATCCAGACCATCACCAAATCCTATCAGCCTTTCCCCTGAGACACGGTGACCCCCTCTGCAGCTGCCCCAGCCCACATGCCATGGTTCCCACCTCTGTGCAGCCTGTGCCCCGCCTTGGCCTCTCCAAGGGGTCCTGATGCTCCAAACAGCACCATCCTCAAAGCCCACAAATCTCTCCTGGTCCCTCCCCTACTAAGCCCGCCCCTGGGCCTGGGGGTAAAGTTTGCAGGCCTTCCTCCTTCCCCCTCTACACCTGAGCTGCCTGGAACCTCCTCTGGTCTCCCAGACCAGCCATGACCCTGTGCCACAAGGGCTCGGTCCCCTCCTGGGGGATGCACTGGTGTTCTTTGCTCTAACAGCCAGGTGGGCAGCTGTATTTGTGTTGCCTCATCCTCAGGGGGCTGGTGTTTGGGGCTTTCTCTGCCAAAGCTCCCCTCAGTCCCCCTTGCATGGTGGGCAGAAGGCCGCCGGGTCACAGAGCAAACCTTCCCCGGCAGTCAGCATTGGGGGCCTGGACCACCAGGCAGCAACACAGTGGGGTTGCCAAAGCCGCCAAATTCCCCCCATACCCTGCCCGGCTGTGGGACAGAGGCTGGGTTGGAGCCAGACAGGTATTTTATTGAAAGTTCACAGATACAAGAGCTCTGAGCAGGGTCACAGCTTGGAGGAGATGGGGTCAGGGAAGGTAGAGTGAGTCCCCAGATGCTGGCAGCCCCCCCAAACTGGGAAGCTCCCACAGAAGCCCTTCTTGCTGGGTGTCAGGTCAGAGGGGCCCCAGGAGCCTGGGAGGGGAGCACAGGAGGGCAGGGAGGGCAGCCAGTGGAAGCCAGGGTGCAGCAGCGCAGGGAGACACCCACAGACCCCAGAAACAGGCAAAGGCAGAGGGTCAGGAGGCAGAGAGGGTGCGCCGGCCCGAAGCTCGCTGCCCCTGTACTATACGGAGCTTCTGACGGCCTCGCTGCCCGGTGCACAGCTTCAGGGGGGACTCCAGGGCACATGCCCTGCTCTGCCCCACACGGCATCCCGTATCACAACAGTCGTGAAAATGAACATGTCTCAGTGCTTTGTCTCCACGGCCGGCGGTGCCCGGTGGGGTCTTAGTAGTCGGTGAGTGGGTACCGCAGGAAGATGAGGACAAGGATGATGCAGGACGCTGCCAGGGCAGAGCTGGTGATGTTGAACAGCCGGGCTGTCTTGGCATCCTCCACCGCTCCATTCAGGTCATTGAGAAGCTTCTTGTCCCGAACCTGCAGCCAGAGGGAGGAGGTGAGGCCAGCGGCCAGAGAGAAGGAAATGCCTAGGACTGGGAACATCTATGCAAAGGGCATACAGGAATTCTTTGTGTTTCTTTTTGCAATTATTCTGTAAGTCTGAAATTATTTAAAACAAAACAGGATCGCAAAAAATATTATTTGATTGAAAGTCGCTAACAGCACATCCTAAGTGTTCCTACAACCAAAAAACTATAAACCTCAAAAATGATAATTATGTGAGATGATGGATGTGCTAACGGACCCCCTTATTGCAATCATCCTGCTGCAGGTACGTGTATCAAATCATGTATTAATGTACGCAAATGCACAAATCAATGTACCCTTTGGACTTATACAATGTTGCATGTCAATTGTATCTCATAAAGCTGGAATCAATAAATGAATATATAAGATAAAGGATGAAGCTGGTCTCAGAGAGTTGTATGATCAATGGAGGATTTAAGCGTGCTCTACTCTGATCGGTCTCTCTGATCTAAAATTAACAGGGATTATCTGAGAATAGGTGCTTTGCATAACAGAAGCGGTGGCAGTCCCCATGGTCTCTGGGAAGGGATGTTAAAATACAGGGAGTGGGGTGGAGCCCAGGAATCTTGGGAAGACAGTGGGGAGAGCTGCACCCATTTCCAAGATTCTCTGGTTGTGAAGAGATGTTCTCCAAGAGGAGGTCACCGTCACCCGGGATACATCTTAGGATTTCCCTCTCTTCAATACTTTCTTCTTCCACAAAGTTCAAAGAAGTGTAGTTGGATATGTGGATGGATGAGAAGGGGGGGAAAATAGACAAAAAAGATAGTGCATCGATTGCATGGATGGATGAGATGACTTAAGGGGTAATAGAGTGGGGGTGAGCAAGGATGAGTGTGAAGACAGTACAGGTACAGATGAATGGATGCACGTGGCTCAGCTAGAGGAGAGAAGGGATGGTAGATGGCTTGAAGGATGAGTGGATGTATTGATGTATTGGGTCAGAGAATGGATGGATGGCTGATAGGTAGAATTGGTAAGTAAGATGGAGAAAGTTACTGAGAAATTGATGTTAGATGAATAGTTAAGTGCACTGATGTATAAAATAGGTGAGGTGGGATGGGAAGACATAGGGAAGGGAGGAGGAAGCATGATGAACATGTATAAACACAGATGAATGGAGGGTTGGGTGACTATTTGGATGAGTTGAAGGGAATAAAAGAAGATGGATTGGTGTATGAAGGATGGTGGGTGGATGGATGAATGATTGGATGGATGGGCAGGTAGGTGGGTGGATGGGTGGGTGACTGAGTGGGTGGGTGGATGGTTGGATGGGTGGGTGGATGGGTGGGTGGATGGATGGACAGATGGATGGATGGACGGATGGATGGATGGACGGATGGATGGATGGATGGGTAGATGATTGGATGGGTGGGTGAGTGGATAGGTGGATGGTTGGGCAGGTAGGTTGGTGGATGAATGGGTGAATGTTGGGTTGGTGGGTGAATTGGGTGAATGGACAGATGGGTGGGTGGGTGGATGGGGGGATGCATGGATGGTTGGATGGGTGGGTGGATGATATTGATATTCAGGAAGCAAGTAGTGGGCAGATATGTATACACAAAAACTGGCACAGTATCCCCCATCTTAATCAATCTTTCTCACTTTCATTACTGGGAAGTCCACAATCTTCTGAGCCAGGGTTGAGCAGCCACCATGTCATTATATGTGCTCCCCGCTCCTGCCTGCCTTCTCAGCCCTAATTCAAGCCATGGTCTCCCTTTTCTGGCCATCACACTGGGACCCTAACTTTTCCCTGCCTCTGGGCTTCTCTTGTCCCCTTCCTCCATATTCATTGCAGATTTTGCAGCTCTGACCATCTTTCCCTTCTGTGTCTTCCACACAATGAAATCCAAACAACACATGTAGTTTTCCAAATCCTCACTGCATGGCCATGGCTGGCTTTCCGGGACTATCTTCTCATCCTCCACAGAAGATGGTGGCCCTGCAATCCTCCCAGATCACCCCACCCTCATGTCCTGGTTTACGTTTTTTCCATCTGGAGCACCTGTCCCCTTAACCACCCTTGCCGAGCGAAAATGGTGCCTCCTCCCATAAGTCTCCCACACCCTACTCCAAACTTGTCCCAAATCAGGAATGAAGTATTCTTTTGAAGCACTGGGACACTTCGTCCACAAAGGTGTCCTCTGTCCAACCACCTATTCGTACAACATCCTTTGACCACTATGATGGTCAGCCCTGCCTTGGCACCAGTGACAGCAAGATGAAAGGGTGGGTCTGGTGGGGTGGGCAGCCATGACGGGGTCACAGAGTCTCTGATGGGACGTGAGGGCTCAGCCAGAGTGAGTCAGTGGAGTCTTTGTGGATGGAAGACCTAGATTTCATAACAGCCCCTCAGGCTGTGGGAGCAGCATGTTGCAAACCGAGGTGTGCTCACGGAAGGGCTGGGGCAGGGTGCCTCTAGTCAGGCTAGGAAATGGCTGAGAAAGGATCTTAAAAAGCCTTGAATGCCGAGATGAGGATCCTGGCTCTCACTTGGCTGACAAGGGGGAGCCAGCTGGTCATTAGGAGCAGCTCATGCCTACCGCGAGTGTGGAGAATTGGCGTTCTGTGTCTCTTTTCCCCGGACACTAGGCTGAGCCACATAAGGCTGCAATCTGTGTGTGGCTGACCCAGCCTGCGCTGGCCTGAACTGGCCCACGTGGGCGGGGAGGGTGGGCGGATGGTTTGATGGGTGGACAGGTGAAGGCAGACAGGGACACAATGTTGTTTCACACACCCCCCGAACGCCAGCCTCTGCCCTGCTCGTGAGTGCTTGCTTAAATGTCGCTTCATTTCAGTTTGTTTTGTGACCAGATGAAGGAATGAGCTGAGCTGAAGGTGGCTTGTTAAGAGCTCACTGCTCTTAAGGACCAGGCTGGGAATTTGGCCAAGGCCTTCTGACCCCAAGTCCATCAGGCGCCCTTGGAAGTGCCCATGACTGGCCACAAATGGTGTAGGGTGCAGTGGGCCAGGAGACATGCAGCTGGATGGACAGATGGACAAATTCCCAGTTGCAGGAACCTGAGCCAGCGAGTTCTGAGCACCCCCTGCCCCGGCCAGAGATGACTCACCTTGCACCTCCTTTCCTGGTAAGCCTTGAACTTTGCTGCCCTGGCTGTCCCCTAGGAAGGACATGGGGGAACAGCCCCAGGGTGGAGTCATAGTGAGCTCCCTTCTGCCCCCCCAGAAGCACGGATTTCTACCCACCTACCCCCACCCCAGTGCAGATCCTGCACCATTCAGAAATCTGTGACCTACCTACAACCTGCACCAGATGGACCTGCCTTGTGCCAACCGGTGCCCATAGCCGAGCCAAGGGGAGGAGGGGACAGCTTCCGGACAGAAGCCCATGTCCACAGGCCTTCATCAGGGTGTGGCAAGAGGGCACCAGGGGAGGCAGAGCCACACACCAGCTGCCTGCCAGCCTCCCCACAACTGTTCCCTTTGCTTGGCACTGTTCCAGTAGAGCCAGAGCTGAGGTTGGCCCAGGACCTCCATCCCCTAATTTCTAGGGACCCCTTCCCTTTGCTGCCCCCACAGCACACACATGCACACACACTCATGCACCCACATGCACACTCACATGATGCATTTAATTACAGGCACACTCACTTATATTCATGCACACACTCATACACAAGCACAGTTGCACCTATACACACACACTCACTCAAGCCCACATGTGATACACTTACATGCACAAATACACACATTTGTGCACTTACAGCCACATACTCATGCACACATGTTCACACTTGGAATTATACTTACACATCCATACCGACACACACTCATACACATGCACACTCGCACCTTCCTGGGCACACACACTCATGCATACATGCACACACACACACACACACACACTCACACATGGTGGAGCCCTGAGCTCAGTACACAGGCCTGAAGGCGAAGGTGCGTCTGGTGGTGGGTGATGCTGATGATGAGTCAGGAGGTGGGGAAAGCCAGGTGGCCAGGGAGTGTGATGCCTGGGGCAGGGGTGGGGCTGAAAGATGCACAGAGGCAGAGCTGTCCAGCTTCCATCCTTCCTCCCGGGCCAGCCTCCCTGGCCTAGACCCTCCTGTCCCTCCAGCCCCCATGTTCCATTGCAGCCCCATCCTACTGCCCCCAAGTCACTGGGCCCCTGCAATCAGCAAAGTGCACCTGGTCTTGGACACACAAATCCATGGATAGTGATGATCTGGCTAGATGTGAGCCCAGCCCTTCTGGAGTGACAGGGAGATGGGTCCTGCTGGTTGGGCTCCGATAGCCCAGAGCTCTTCAGTCCTGACACACTTGCACAGAGCTCTCCACCTCAAACGTGAGTGGGTTACAGCCTCTTTCCTGCAAGCTCGGTCCATTCCTTCCCGCACTGTCCCGGGGACATGCGGTCCTGTCTGCCTGGCACCCAGCTCTGCTCCCAGCCAGCTCCTCTCACAACAATGAGGGGCTTCTGGAAGTTGTGCCCACTCAGGGTGTGGGGTCAGGGGTGCATGGGACATATTTGTGTCTCTTTCCCCCAGGTACCCTGGCCACCAGGACAGTCTAGAAACCGTAAGAGTGGGAAGGCAGAAAGCAGGGACTTGATCAGAGACCCCGTCTATCGTGGCCTCCCGAATGCCTGCCTGGTTTCAGGTTCCCTCTGAGGGCTTGGAGGAGGTCTGCACCATCCTCCTGTCAGCAGGGCAAGGGCTCCAAGGGTCTTCACCAATGTGCTGGCTCCATCCCCACCTGCCCAGGGGCAGCTCCATGACCCCCGCCCAGAGGAGAGGATGTCAGGCCCTGGGGCTGCTCCACAAGGACTAAGCGGGCTGTGTAGAGAATGCAGTCCTGTGGCCCCCCAGCCCTGTCAAGACACCCTGGCAGCTTTCTCAGCATGGGGACGGGCAGCCCCTCCCTGCTGGCTTAGAGCTAGCCAGTGCCCATGTGGCTCTGGATCCCATGAGGCGGCCCCCACCTGCCAGCACCCACTCCTCCTGCCCCCCGCCCCTGCCCAGCTCACTTTGAGGGAGTAGGCCAGTGCGATGAAGCCCAGGCAGCAGAAGTTGAGGTAGACAAAGTTGAAGATGGACCACAGATAGTAATCGTTGACCTCGGTGGTGTCTGGGTAGACCTCGATGACTGTCGTGGGGTTCGTCATGGTCTTCTTTTCAGCGAGGTGCTTGCAGGCCTGGGGGGCTCCAGAGGCCCGCACGCTGTCCGTCTTGCTGCTCTTGGACTCCATGGGGAACAGGGTGGGCGCCATGGGGGGCGATGCTGAGGGCTCAGGGGCCGGGGCTGCTGGAGCCTGCAGGGCCGGGGGCTTGGACACGCAGGCAAAGCAACCCTTGGGTGAGCCTGCTGGGGGCCTCGGAATCCAGAAGGCCCCGTCCAGGGGGACTCGGGCTTCCTGGGCGCCGTCCGTGGTGCTGGCCGGGGCTCCCAGCGGGGCTGGGCACTGGCCGGGGCCCTGGGCCTGGAGGGAGGAGGAGAGGAAGAATGAGCCAGGTCCTGCCCGCCCTGCAGGGCTTGCCCTGCCGTCCTGCAGCATCTCCCCTGCGGACTCACGAGCAGCCCCAAAGGAGATGGAAATCCCCACCGAGGCAGCCAGCTGCCAGGCTGCCACTCACCTCCCCCACCCGCCCCAGCCACCCTGATGCCAAAGCCCTTCACAGCAGCCTTGGCAGAAACATCGGGGGCTTTTCATCACTTTGCCATCTGCGCACAAACATTCACCCACTGACACACAGCAGCAACACCCCCCCCCATACCCAACAATGCCCCCACCGACAGGCTGTTGCAATAAACAGAGCACGCCAGCATCCATCCCAAACACCCTGGCACACACAGGGCACGCAAACCCACAATGACAGCGTCTCAGGCACTGTCTGGCCACCGAGCAGAGCTCTCTGGAGCACCTGCAGGCTGACACCCGCTGACACATTGGGCACTAACGGCTCTCCAGACCCGGGGCACACCCGTGCGCTGAGATGCTTCCAGGTAAACAGCTCCGCACTGTGACACGCAGCGTGTACACACACAGCCGACGCGGGCTCGGATGCAATGGATCGCCGGGGTATGGAAACGGCCGCTGCGGGCGCCCCAAACTCCTGCGCGTCGTCCCCGCCCCCCACCCCGGCCCGGAGCCGGCGGCCAGGACCCCGAGCGCTGCCGGCTCGCAGGGAGCCACCCAGCCGGTGCCACCCAGACGCGCAAGGACACTCTGCGGATCGCGCACTTCTTCAGCCAGGGACCCGGGCGGCGGCGCCCTGCACCCCCGGGGGTCCCCGCCGGGGTCTGCCGCAGCCGCACGGACGGCGCGCCCTCACCTGCTGGTGGCTCCTCGGCGGGCGGCCCGACCCCTGCGCCGCCGTCCGCGCGTCCTTCCGCCGGCCCGCGGCCCCGTGTGCCCGGCCGCTCCGTGTCCCCGCGGCCCAGCCTCGGCGGGGGGAGCGCGGGGCTGGCGGCGCTCTGTCCCCGCTCCTGCGCTCCCTCCGCAGCGCCAGGCCGGCCGCGCGGCTGCAGCTGAGCCTGACTCACGGGCGCCGGCGGGTGCAGCCACCTCCCCGCCTCCTCCGCCCGCAGGGTGGGGGCCCGGCGCCGGCCGGAAGCCCGACCTGGGGGCTGCAGAGCCGGCGGGGCCGCGCGGGGCTGGGGCCTCCCCCACTGCCACCCCCAGTCGCCCGGTGGAGCTGCCCGCCTCCCTGGGCCTCCCTCTTGCTGAGCCCCCAGCCCCTCTGGCCTCTGCCTCTCCAGGAGGGGGCATCTGCATCCTCCTGCTGACCTCCCCTCCTCACATCTCAGTCCTGCCTTGGTGGAGCCCCCACCCTCCCCAGAGCCCGGGGACCCCAGCCCGTTCCCCTCCCAGCACATCCCCACCAGCTATCCCGACCCCCACCGGCTCCCCTTCCCGCATACCCCTATCCCCAACCAAGCCCCTTCCAGCTCCCCAACTGTAGCACCTCTGTACAGTCCAGGCCTTCCCTGAGCCTTGGTGGCCCTCGCATGGCCCTGTCCTTTCTGACCCCACCCCTGTGGAAGCTCCTGACCCTCTCTCCCCAGATCTGACTTCGTGCACCCCAGCCCAGAGCCCCGGGCCCTACCCCTGAGGTTGCATCCCTCACCGAGTCTGGTCTCAAAAGCCATGATCTCTCACTGGTTGGTCCCCTGTAAGCATGGGGCCAGATATTCTCCTCCAAGCCCCCCAATGACACTTGTCTCCTTGGAGACAAGTCCACTCACCTGCCCATGTTGCTCGGCCAGCCTGCCTGTCCCACCTGGGCTGTGTTCCCTGCAGATGTCCCTTCCTCTGACCCACGCCTGCTGGCCCAGCCCCAGCCTGCTCCGGGGACCTGCCCTCCCTCTAGGCCCTCTCACTCTCTCTCATACTTGTCCCCATATAACCTTTCCTTCCTGCACAAGTCCCAGTGAGTCCCATGTGTAAGGGAGAAAGAAGCCCTGGCCCTCTCTGTGTCTCCTGGAGACTCACCTCACCATGCCGGTGCCCTTTGAGCTGGGTCCTCTTCACCAGCCCACCAGCCTCCACAGACCCCAGGGCCTCCAAAGCTCCCTGGGAGCTGCACCTATGTGCAGTGGTCCTAGATTGCCTCCCCAGCTCCCCCTGACCAGCTCAACCAGCCTCCCCTGGCTCCCCGAGCCTCTCCTCCGAGGCTGGGTCTTCTCAGGGGCCGCTGCTGTCCTGCAATCCTCTGCCCACCCCTGCTCTCCCTGACCTCTGCATGCGTCTGAGGTTCTGGGAACCCACCTCTCTGGATAGTCCCCAGCCCCTCCCCGAACCCTCCCCTTCTAGCCCTGCCCCCGGCCACCCTGCCAGGCCTCATTGGTGGCTGTTAAGAACCCCAGGAACCTCCAGGAGGTTGATAAAACCCTCCGTGAGTGGGAGGGCTCCCCAGCACCAAGCACTGGGGCCACCACCCCATCCTGGCCATACACTCAGTGGAGCCAGGCCCAGTCCAGAAGCCCACAGGCTTGAGGGAGGATAGGGACTATGGGGGTACCAGGAGTCAGTTCTCCCTCGCTGGCCCCTTCCCAAGGGCCACAGTAATAGGCACCTGGACCCCCAGGCCTCTGGCTGAGCCTGACCTAAGACGGAGCCTACCTGCGGTCTGGACGCCATGCCACCAGGTCTCCCGGGGCTGGGCACTGCCCCACCTGCCCCAGGCTCTGTCCTGGGGCCACTCCAGGCAGGTAGGCTGCAGGCAGTGGCCAATGGGGCTGGTCGGAACAAGAGTCCGGCTGGTCCTTAGGCAGCAGGAAAGGGGTGCCCGGCCCACCGGGGCCTGCTCCAGGTCCCAGGGTGAAGTCAGGGCCCTCTGCTCCAGGCAGTCTTGAGGCTGCCTCTCTGAGAGCTCCAGAGCCCAGAGCAGCAGGGGGGAGGGTACTTTAGCCCCTGCTGGCCTCCACCCAGTAGGTGAGGGAAGGCACTTGACTCAGGTCGGGTGTCCTCCAGGCAAGGGCAAGAGGCAGGAAATGCCCACCGGGGCCCGCTGGGCTGGTGCAGAGCATGGCAGGCCAGCCAGGACCAGTGCCAGGCGCTGAGCTGGGCTCCCCGCGGGGATCTGCTAAAGCCCTGGCGAGGAGTGCCCTGTTATTACCCACCTTCTAAAGACAGACCGGAGGCTTAGGGCTGGGTCAGAGGGGCTGGATCTGAGCCCAGAGTCAGAGTCTAGGGTCCAGAGGCTCCCAGCCAGCAGCCCAGGGCGGTCATACTGGTCCTGGGCCCTGCCGGCTGGGGGTCTGGAGGCTTCAGCCTGTGCTCATCTACACAGCATCTCAGGACGGGCAGGGGCATCCAGCTGTGCTTGTCCCTGTGTCCCAGACCAGAGGGGACAGGGTGTGCAGGGTGGAGGTAGCCCTGTGAGGCCAGGCTGGGAGGAGGCACAGGGGGTGTTGGGGAGGGGCTGCCTTCTTCCTGGCCGGCTCTGACTCCAGGCGTCCGCGTGCACAAAGGCTTGGGTGACACTGTCTCCCCAGCAGCCTTGCCAGGTCCTGCAGCTCTGCTCCCTGCTCGTATTTCAAGTGCAGAGAACACAGGGCACATGTTTATGAGCCTCCTTGCAATTCTGCTTGAGTGTTTGTTAAAGGTGCCAGCTGGGGTTCAGTGATGGGGTGCAGTTCCCTGACCCCTAGGGCCGGGCCAAGGACAGCCACAGCCCTGAAGGCTGAGAAGGCACCAGGACAGCGACGTCTGTCATAGCTGCCATTTCCACGCCCTTACACCCGCAGGGAGTGGGCTCTAGACAAGAGTCTAGAGCTGCTGATCCCAGAGGGAATTCTATCCCAAGGGCTCACAAACTCCTATTTATCCTTTCAATCCTACTGGCAGATGCTTCCAAGTATGCCTCAGCAAACTCCCAAGAGGCCAGATCACCAGGGAGGTCGCTGCAGCCCAGGAATCCCGAACTGGGATCCCTGAACCCTGAGACTTCAGGCCCCCAGGTTGGCCTGTCCAACATCGGCTTGCTTTGCAGAGATGGCATGCAGGTGCCGGCAGGAGGCCCAGAGGGAGGCAGGTTGCCCATTTGCAATCAGCACCCTGGAGGCTCCTGTCCTAGGCTCTAATGGGGGATTGGGGGGACCGGGAAGGCCAGGGCCCCACTGTGGTGGGACACTCCCCAGGGATGCATGGCAGGCACTCACCTGGGCCACGCCCTGAACACTGTGCCCACTGCAGGCCTTGGCAACCTTGCCCAGTCCTGCCCTGCAGCCTCTTGCCAAGGCCACATCCTGCTGGTCACTGCCCCAGGCCTCAGGACCAGCCAGCCCTCCACTGGTGAGGTCCCTTGTGCAGGGCAGGGGGGCTGGGGTCTGGGAGCCAGGGCACCTCCAAACGTTCTCCCCCCGCCTGGCTGTGAGTCAGCTGTCTGCAACAACAGCTCACACCAGCCCCACCAGCTCCTTCCCACCAAACACAAAACACGCCAACACAGAAAAAAGAGGCCCAAACAACTGTATTTTCAAGTCAACTTTGGCTCCGGGCCGCTCAAGAGCGGGGAGCTGCAGAGTAGACGGCACCACCCCCTCCCCTCCTTCCCTGACCCTGGACGAGTCAATGCCCTCCTAGCTGGGGTCGAGCTCCAGGATGACCCCAACGGCATCACAAGGCTGGCTTCTGTCCCCTGGCCCGACCCTTCCTGCTCCTGCTCCTTCCTGCTTGTCCTAGGCATTGGCCGGCCCCTTCCTCAATGGGCCTACACGGGAAGGCGGGTGGGGCCAGCAGCACCCAGCTCCCGACCCCAGGCCAGGGGCAGGAGGAACCCAGAAAACAGCCTGGCCCGGGGTGGGGGCTCAGCCCAGAGGTCCTGCCGGGGCAGCCGGGCCCAAAGCACAGACCAGGGGGTGGGGGGGCAGGAGGAGGAACTACTTGGGTGAGGGGTCCTGGGACACACAACTGATCAGCTGCCAAGCCAGGCTGGGGCTTCCAAGTTAGTGAAGGGGCTCCATGCTCTGGATCAGCCTACTGGCTGCTGCCCACCCCCCCCCCACCCCCATCGCACAGACAGACAGACGGGCGGGCGGGCAGGCAGCACTTCTGTAACCAGGGCTGGGGAAAACCACAGAACAGAACGGCGGGCCTGGCAGGCCGGCGCCTGCGGAGCTGGGTTATGAGTGTGAGTTTGAGCGTGAGTGTGTGTGGCAGGGGCAGCCGGGAGGGTGGGGCAGCTGGCCTCCTCCTGCTGGACTCCTTCCTCTCCAGCGGGCAGGCGGCTAGAGCCTAGTGGCCTGGGCCAGGCCCACCCGGTTCTGGTCCCGGTCGAACACGGTGTAGTAGCAGCCGATGAAGACATCACCCAGGATCCAGAGAGGCCCACCAGGTGGGGGGATGTCCATGCCCATGAAGCCACTCAAGCAGATGGTCTTCCCACCTTGTGAAACCTGGGATAGCCAGGGTGGTCAGCACCTGGCCGGTTGCCAGCCCCGCCCCCTGCCCAGCCCAAGGCCCCGCCCCCCAGCCCACCCGTGCTGACCTTCAGTGTATAGTCCTCTGAGGACAGCTTGTAAAGTTTGCCGCCCAGCTTCAGAGTGACATCGGGCAGGGTGGACACCTTCTCACAGGGGATCATGTACTGAGGGAGAGAGAACAGAGCAGCTCAGGTGTGGTGTAGGGGGCTGTGGCCCAGGCACCCTGCCCATGCTGTCCGGCCCACTCACCTCGCCCTGGATCAAGGGCACAGCTCCGATGGCCTTCTGCAGCTCACGCACCTCGTCCACGGGGCCCACTATGAGGGAGGTGCCTGTGTCCACGATGGCCTCACAGCCCCCCTTGCACAGCGTCAGGCTGCTGCCCACATCCACCCTGCGGGGAAGGGGTGTGAACATGCGGGCCTGCATTCAGGGGCTTGACAGGCAGTCCCCTCCTTCAGCACCCCCCCCCCCCCGCCACAGTCTTGCTGGAGCTCAAGAGGCCAAGAGCAGGTGACCTGCCAGCCTAGAAGCCACAAGCGGAGGAGGCCCCGAGCCGAGGGCCCAGGGGCTCAGTGGGGCGCCAGGAGGTAGCAATGGACATCTAGGGTTGGTGGGGTGCAGGCTCAGCCTGCCCCATCTCTCCGTCTCCACGCTGGAGCCCCTGCCCCCAAGGGCTGTAGCTAGAGACCTGCTGATGGAGGGCAGCAAGGGTCCCCCACACAAAGCACGCTCCCGGCAGAACCAAGTGGGGCCCCTCCCAGCACTCACTGCTCCATGTGGACCTGCCAGTATGCCTTGCGGGTGACATTGAGGTAGGACAGGGGGCCCTTGTAGTACTTGGAGTCTGTGCCACCCAGCATCAGCTCACCCCCAGGCTGCGCATTGGGGTCCCTGGGAGAAGAGAAAGCAGAGTCAGCCACCAGCCGTGGGTCCAGCCTGACCGCTGGGCAGGACAAGCACAGGCTGGGGCCAATCAGAAGGGGTGGGTAGGGCTGCAGGGATGGAAGCTCCAGAGGGGGCACAAGAAGGGAGAGGACTTCCTCTCCCTGATGGGTGGGGCTCCAATCCCACACCCGGTGTGGCCTGCAGGCCGCGCTCCTGCTCAGCTCGCAGAGGCTCCTGGTCTGCCAGCTGAAGAAGGCCAGGGTCAGGCCAGCTGGCAAATGGAGAAGTGAAAGCTAGGAGCCAAGGAAAGGGACCTCATCTGTCAGAGGAAAACAGAACCCAGGAGGGCTTCCAGGAGGAGGCACTGTGTAGCACCAAGAATTGAGTAAGTTCATTCCTTTTCTAGGGCCTTGTGTCGGGTGTTCCCCAGGATGTCCTCACCCTCACCCAGCTCTCGTGTTCAGCTCACACTGCTCCGGCCACCTGGCTCCCCTCTAGACTCCGTGTCTGAGCACACCACCTTCCTCCTGGCTGCTCCCCCTCAGAAGCACCAGGCCAAACACCATCCTCCCTCTACACCTGTGACGTCCAGTTCTTCCCCTGCCTTCACTCCCCTTGCCTCCAAAATCAGTGTGGAGACCAGACAGCTGCCTCCTGGGTGCTCCCCACACTAGCCCTGCCCCATCACCCCCTCACCCAGGGAGCCCTGCGCCTGGGCCTGGCCAATCCCCTGCCCTGGTCCACCTGTGTGGGCCATTCAGCCTCCCGAGGACAGCTCTGCCTCAAGCAGCGGTGGAGTGTTCACTGCCGAGGACAGGGGCTGGGCAGGAGGGGAGGGTTTGGGGCTGGCATTTGGCTGGAAGTGCCTGAGGCTGGACCCTGAGGGCAAGTGGCTTGTGCGGTGAGGAGGGGGCATGCAGCATGGTGACAGGCAGCGTGGGCCATCTGCTCACACTGCCCACACCTCCACCCTGAGCACACCCACATCGGGACCTCTAGCACCGCCCTGGGGGGACTGAGGAGCTCCTTCTCCAGGACACTGCACACAGGTCACCCACCCTTCTGTTTGGGGCCACCAGAACACTAGGTGCAGCTGCAGGGGGGTGGCGGTCACCTTCCCTGGAAAGCCACCAGGTCCCTCACCTCCAGAAATCCTATCACAGACCAGGGCTCACAGCTTTGTCCCCTCCGGGCTGTCGGTGATCCAGGGGCCACATCGGCCCACCATCAGACCTCGGGAAGGCTGGGCTGACCCAGGAGGAGCTGCCACGACCCCTGACCAGGGTCTGGTTCTGCAGCGGTGAGGCCCACTGCGCGGGAGCCTGGGCCTGCAGCTTGAGCGCCCCAGAGCCTGTCCAGAAAGCCGCCCACTCGTCTGTCAAGGGGTGGTCAGAACCCCCTCCAGTCACAGCCACAGGTCAGGAGCCGCAGCCTGAGGCCTGGTGTCTGGCGGGCGGCCAGAGAGGCACAGCCCCAGCCCCCTGTGCTCAGCCACACAGTTCTGGGCCCCTCCCACCCCACCTGTTCAGGTAGAAGGAAAAGATGTTCTTCTCCACCAGCTTTTGCTGCATCAGGTTGTCGAAGACAGGCAGCACGTTGTTGACAGAGATGCGGGGGTAGGCCATGCCCAGGATGCCGTCAAACTTGGCTGCGATGAAGGTGATGCCCGGCTGCTTGGTGGCCTCCCCGAAGGTCTGCCTCTCCACCTTGATGCCAGCCAGGCCCGACAGAGCCGACTTACAGGGCACCTGTGGGCCGGGGTGTGGGGGTCAGAGGGCCATGCACCCAGGGCTCAAGACAGAGGACCCCAAAGGAAGGGCTGGTGATGCCGGGTGGGACACAGCTGGTGGGGGCAGAGACGTGGGTGTCCACGGTCGTCAGGACAGAGAGGTAGGCTCCATGCTCAGCCCTGGTTTTCTGGCCCCACCCAGGCCTGCCCCGGCCCTCGGGCTGCCGGAACCCCATGACCCGACCCCATGACCCAGCTCAGCAGACTCAAGGCCCCGCCACCCCTCCCCCACCTGGGAGCAGCCAGCCACCAGATAAAGACACAGGGCAGGATGTGGGGACAAACGGCTGTTTGAGGCTGACACCCTGACACCGGGAGCAGGGAGTGTGCTAGGCAACATCCTGTTTTGGGCCCTCAAAGACAGGAGTAGGGGACTTCATAAGGCAGGTGGGTATAGGGGCTGTGCCCCGGCAGGAAGGTCCCCGGCCACCATGGCCCAGCCCACCCCCCACACAAGGGACAGACCCAGCTGGTTGGACCCTGGCCATGCCCTGCCGCCTTCCGGTCTGGCTGGGGCTGGGAGGGGGCTGTGCTCTGCCCTGTTCCAGACCCTTCCAGGTAAGTGGCACCCCAAGAGGTCACAGAGGTACAAGCAGAACCCTTAAGGGCCTGCCTACCACCCGCCTCACCCCAAACAGTCTCTGCTGCAGGCAGGGTGCACAGCAGAACCTCCAGCGTCCTTGACAAGGGCTCCAGGCATGTCTCTGCCCTCCCCGACCCCAAGTCCTCAGGCAGTGGCGGGACCCTGTCCGTGTCCCCAGGCCTAGCCCACAGGGCCCAGCAGGCACCTCAAACCCAAGGCATCATAACAGAAGCCAGGCCCCTCAGACTGGCTCTTCCGCCCAGCGGCTGGCTGCTAACCACTCCCCAGGTCCTGGTCCCGGACTCCCACCTGCAGCTCTCATGCCCACATCCTGGTGGCCCCACTCTCCCCTATAGCCCTCCTGGCCGTTCCCACACCCCGAGACACACGGGGCCAGCTCTGCTCCCGAGGCCTGCACAGCGCAGCCCACCAGGCTCTTCAGCTCCAGCCTTCACTCAAGCTGTCTCTGCCATCCTGGCTCAGCTGCCCTGCCTCGGGCTGGGGCCGGGGCCGCCAAGCCGTCTGAGCACCCCCGGGCCCAGAGGCAGCCTCACCGCAGACTCACCGACACGGTGTCCTGGCTCAGGTACCCAGAGAGGCTGCCCGAACCGTAGTGGATGTCGAAGGACGTGCCATTCTTCACATATGTGCTGGACTTGCCGCTGTTGTACTTGTGGTGGATCCCTGTGCCAGCCGAGAAGCCCATTAGCTCGCCACCCTGGCCAGGCCCCAGCTATGGGGCGCCCAACCAAGCCACTCCCCCAGTGTTGGGGGGACCCGTGACCCCCCAGCCTTGGTCTCAGCCAGCACCGGTCTGCCCCATCCTTGGAAGAGAGGCAGGCTGGCACAAACAGGTTCACCCAGAAAGTGGGGTGCCCTGCGGCAGGGTGGAGAGGCCAGGCCTGGCTGGTGTGGCTCAGAGGCAGAAGTCATATGGTGTCCAAGAAGGGCTGAGGCAAGGCCACTGAGAGCCCCAGACCTGCCCTACTGGCCCCAGAGCCTTGGGGGGAGCACACGGCCGTGTGAGGAGGCGGCCGGGTACCATAGTCTCTGCCTGCCTCCTCCGGCCCCACAAGGCTGCACCCTGACTCACAGCAGGCGATGTCCAGCAGCTTGCAGTGGATTGAGGGGACCCACAGGTTGGAGGAGCCGGTGTCGAAGACGACCGTGAAGCACTGTGGGGGTGTCCCAATGCCGATCTCGCCGTAGTACTGGGCCTGGCAGGGGAGCAGGGTCCATCAAGGCTGTGCAGGGAGGGCACCCATGTCCCCAGAGGCCTAAGAGGGAGCTGGACTCCGAAAGACTCAAGACAGAGAAGGGACACCCAAGATCCAGACCTATTGCTGCTGACCACACCCTCCGTCCCTCCCCAGCCCTTGGTCCTCATACCCTTGGGCACTTGGGATTCCCAGGCCCCTGGGCACAGCTCCACTCCTGTCTGACCACATCAGGGTGGCGGAGGACCACCCCTTTGAGAGATGAAAGCAGCAGTCACATCAGCTGGTCCTCCCTGAGACTTGGAAGACCCCTCTGTCTCAGCTCCCCAGGGCCCCAGCAGGGAAGACTTCCTCCTCACGATGGGGGCCACATCATTCTCTCCCTGCCCTTGCCCCATAGGGTCCAACCTGGAGGGCTTCTAGGTTGAGGCGTTGGTGGCCAAAGGGAGGAGGAGGTACATCCTGGAGACTGGAAGTGTAGGCTCAATCTCTCACTACCTACACTCTACATTCACTAGTCTGGGCCTCAGTTTCTCCACTGGCACGCGGAGGAGGAGGGCAGCCCGGGGAAGCCCCAGGTAGTGACCCACGGCTCAGGGGAGCATGAAGGGGGCACAAGCCCCCCTGAGCCTCAAAGGGAAACCCCATCTTTAGGTGCTCTCGCAGGTCAGAGAACACAGGCACTTGGATGTGAGATGTGAGCACTGCCTGCCTGGGCACCCCCTCTCTGGGAAGGGAGCCTGGGCCCAGGTCACCATGGGATTCCGGGTCCAATCCCAGCCAAGAATCTCTCTCCTGCCACTTGGCTCCAGGGAGGGCCAGCAGCTGCTGTCTCATGACCTCGCAGAAGTGTCCAGATTTGGGGGGCTGGGGGATGACTCAGCGAATCTCCGTGTGTGCCTATGTGTGTACACATGTGCTTGAGCTGGGGGATCAGGAACTGGTCAGTCAGGCCTCGAGGCAGGTGCTCCCCCGCCCTCCCCCCTCTGCCCCCCGGGGCAAGTCACATGCCTATGAGGCCATAGCTTCCTAGCACCATTGGGGCTCTGGCCAGACAGGTCACAGGGCACGGCCCCCTGTCCCAAACCCAAGTGGACCAGAGCTAGGTCCTCACCAATCAGGGGTAGCCCTAGGGCTGCCAGGCTGGGTCCCAGGGCCTGACCCCAGAGTTGGGACCAGGCTGACCCAGCCCCAGCTTACTATGGGGCTTACAAAATATCCCACCTCGAGCCTGTCTGCCCCTCCAGGAGCATCGGGCATGATCAGGGCTGGCCATTGACCAAAGAGGAAGAAAAGAAGGCAGGACTGGGTCATGGGTGGCTCCAGGCCTTCCAGCAGGATAGGCAAAAACATAAAAAGCTCCAGAGCAGATGGTTATTTATGCCTGGGCAGGCAGGCCAGGTGACCCGAGCTCAAGGACCCTGCAGCCTCTGAGGGCCTGGGTCTGATTTAGGCTCCTCTACCCCCAGCTCATGGCCCTGGACACAGCTTGCTTATCCTTAGAGAGTGACCCTGTCCCCCACTCCTGCAGGCTGGCCTCAGGAACGAGACGACTCCTGATGTTAATGGTCAGTAATACGCACTGGGGGATGACACAGCACGGGGGGAGCCCCGGACACCCCACCTGTCCTCCCAGCCCCCACAGGACCAGGTCCAGCAGGGGGACACAAATGGGAGTCCTAGGGAGGGGGCGGGGCCAGGAGGAGAGGGCGTGGCTAAGCAGAGGCAGGTGAATCCTGCAGAGCCACAGGTGAATCCTGCAGAGCCACAGGTGGCTGGGAGCTGAGAAGAGTGTTTCCTGGCTGCCCATACAGAACTTTCCCTAAAAGCCATCTCCTGCCAGAATCACTGCTAGCTGCCAGCCCAGTCCCCGCCCCAAGCGGACAACCCCCATACTCACGTCCATGTAGTTCCTGAGCATCTCAGGAATGGGTCCCCCAGTTGCTGCGGGTGCCCCCTGGGCATACTTTGAAATGGGGCCCTTGGCAATCAGATCCTCCACGGGGCCCCCCAACTCTGTCATGGTCCGGCGGACAGAGGTGAACTTGTGCAGAGGGATTCTGTGGAGAAGAGGGGTCAGGGTTCATCAGGGCTCCCAGCTTCCCCAGGTCTGCTCTGTACCCCCGCCCACTCTCAGCCACTGGCAGCTCCAGAAGCACCCCCCACCCCTCGTCCCCACTGTGCCCGCTCAGGTCTCTTCTGGGACAGCGGCCTGCAGGGTCCGTTGGGGCATGTGTCACCTCTGCCCAAAGCCCTCTGAGGTGACCCAACCACTCGGCCCTCGGGAATCATGGTGCTCTCCACACAGACCCCACACAGACATGCCCTCAGTTTCCCTGTGTGCCTTCCCGGGCTGGCTCTCGCCTGGCCATTGGACAGGTCTTCAATGCTACCACGTCTGAGAAGTCCTCCTTGGCCATCCTTCAACGTGACCCTGTCTCCCTCCAGGGCCCTTGCCAATGCAGTAGTGAATCCATTTCCTGCTGGCGTGTCCTCTGCCCTCTCACGGTGCAGACCCCAGGAAGGCAATGACTGCGCTGGAGTGCAGGGGGTCTGTGCCTTCAGGTCTGCCTTCCTCTGAGACACTCCATGGCACCCCCACTGCGAGCCCCTGCCTCCCAGCCTTGGCGGTCAGCCTGGGCAGAAAGAGCCAGGGGTTGAGGTCAGGTGCCCGGGGTCCCTCCCCTGGCCTGCATTCTTGGCTCCTCCCGGGTTTCAGCTGGCATCCCGCTCCGACGGGTGCAGGAGGCGGGTCGGGAAAGCACCCCAGAGCACATGCAGACAGCTAAATGAAAGGTCCTCCCAGCCCAGGGGTTTTGGGAGTTCAAGGTCACAGCTGGCCCTTCCTGGCAAGCCAAGGGCGTGCTTCAGGAAGATGGGACTCTTGCCTAAGACCTGGTAGGCTGGAAGAGTCCAAGGTTCTTGCCTGGGTGAAGGGGACACGCCCTCCTATAACCCAGGCATTGATGCCATTGGTCCCACACGTCTTGGAAGAGGCTGTAGGGCTCTGCTTTGACTGCCCCACATGGCGGCAGACTCGGTTCCCCACAGCCACCAGCCCTGGGGGGTGGGGGGTGGGGGTCCTGTGGGTGGCAGCAGGGTAGGCTCAGCCCTGCAGCTGCATTCTCACAAAGACTCCATTTGGGGCGACGTGCCCCCAAGCCAAGGCCGTGGTGAAGCCCACGCAGGACAGCCCTTTGGCAAGGCTGAGTCCCACTCGGCCCCCAGCCAGCTCTCACGGCCCTGTGGCCTCACCCACCTGCGCACGGGCCAAAGGCCCACAGCAGAGGTGGAAGGATGCCTTCCCAGGCCAGGCACACAGGCCCCTGGGGGGCAAGAGTGGGTGCGGGGGCAGGAGGGGCTGGCCCACTGCACCCTCCCCCACCTGGGAAAGCAGGCTGCCTTGCACGAGTGGGAGGGGGGGTGGCGCCAGTCCTCAGGCTGGCTGGCGCGCCGGGCGCAGCCCTGATGCAGGCCCCCCGCAGGCCCCCGTACAGGGGACGGGCCTCCAGGCCCAGGAAGGCGCGGTCCCTGCAGGGGCAGGCGGTGCCGGCCGGCGCTCACCCAGCCCCAGCCCCTGTCCCCAGCTAGCTCCCCTTTGTCTCCCAAACACTTGGGGGCCCCCAAGGTCAGAGGGGGTCCGGCCGAGCCCTGCGCTAAGAGCCCCTGGGTCCGCCCGAGTGTGACCACGCCCAATTGACAGCTGGCGGCGGGGGGGCGGCGTGGGACGCACACCGGGTCTCCAGACTTGCACCCGCGGGGCCCGGAGGGCGCGCACTGCAACCCCACCTGTGCTGGGGGGCTCGGTCAGCCTGAGTCCCCGCATCCTCCCTCCTGCAGCTTCCTGCCCCCCGGGGCTGACTCCAAGGCGGGGAGAAGAGGGCCGCGGGGGGCGGGAGCCCTGGACGAGGCCCCGCGAGGCGCACGGCGGCACCCGGGGCGCGCGGGGGTCGCAGGGCCTCACCTGACCAGCGCGGCGGCGGGCGCGGCCAGCAGGCCGAGGACGAGCAGCAGCAGGCTGGGGGGCTGCATGGTGGCGGCGGCCGGGTCGGAGCGCAGCGCCGCGAGGTCCTGCGCTTATAGCCGGGATGACGGCGCAGTTGCGGAGTCAGCTGACCGCACTGTTTGCAACCGGGAGGGTCACGCGGGCCGCGGCCGGCGTGCGCGGGGCGGGGCCGGGGCGGGGCCAACCGGGCCGGGCCCCCGCCGGGTCCGCGCACGGCGCTCGGGGGCGCGCACGGCGGCTTCCCGCCCCCGGGACCGCCCGCCCGGCCCCGCCCCGCCCCGCCCGCCCGCGCGCGGCCTTGGGGGTGCGCGGTGCTGGAGCCGCGGTCGCGGGGACCCGGCGGGGCACTCGGGACGGCGGCAGCCGGGGGGCCCCGGAGCGCAGGCTCCTCCCCGCACCACACTCGCGGGCTGGGCACCGCGTGAGGCCCCGCAGTCCTTCCCGGGCCCCGGCCTCCCTCTCCACGCCCCTCCTCGCACCTGCTGCACCGTCTGCCCACGCCCCCACCTTGCACCTGCTGCCCCACCCTGGCTCATTCCCCCCGAGCCTCTTCCTTCCCACCCTTCCTTCAATCCTGGGGATCGCCAGGGCTTCACCCTCCGTCTCCCCCCTTCCACCTCCCGAGCAGCGCCCGTCTGACCCTCCTTGGGCAGCCCTGGGTTGTCTTTCCCCTGGGGGCCCACTGCCCCTTCCAGGTCCCCGCTCGAGGGATGCTGCGTGCGCCGCGGGGTCAGATAAGGAGCCAGGTCTCTCACCTCCAAGTCTGGGCTCCTTTGCACCGGCCTCGGGAGAGCGTGAGTCCCTCACTGGAGCCAGTGCTCAGACCTGCTGAGGCCACAGTGAGCCACTGCCCCCTCAGGGCCCCCACCTCCCCTAGCCACTAGTGATGTCCAGCTTGCTGCCGCAGGGACGGGTCCATCCACTTGTCCAGCCCCAGTTCCAGCCAGAGGAGGGGCAGGCATGCAGGAGGAAGGGAGCTTGGGCAGGTCACTTCAGAGAGAGTCCATGTGGCGAAGGAAGTTAATCAGGGAATGTGCTAGGAAGTGGCCTTGGTTGGGAGCAGGCCTCTCTGGGGAGCTGGCATGTGAGCAGGAGGTGAACGCTAGAGAACCCTCACCAAGGGCACTTCTTGAGTGGTGCTGCAGCTACCTCACTTGGACGGGGTGAACCAGTTCAGTGGCCCACAACAGGCAGACTGGGATTCCCATCTTTTCTGTGACCACCCTGTATGCTGGGTTCACCTGGTGTGGTTCTGGGTGTGAGGGCTAGAGCCAGGACCAACCAGACAAACTCCCTGCCTTCCGAATCAGACCCCGGGTGCCCAGGTCCTTGGCTGTGCTCCAGGCGGGCCCCACAGTGGGAGCTCTGCATGGGGCATTATCACCTCCCTCCTGGCAAGCTGCTATCTCACATGCATCAGTTGGGGTCTGGATGGGCTGGATACCACAAACACTTGAAGCTGGTCCCAGCACCCACTAGACCATGCATGTCCTGCGATGCTCAGATACAGATGTATGAGAAAGTACACCTTCAGAGAGGCCCATCTGCTTCTTCCACAGAAGCCCTTACAAGGCCAGCAAAGCTGCCGGAGGGTGCGTCAGAGAGGTCACAGGGTGATCTGGCAGCCAGCTGTATCTGGCTGGGGCAGGTGCCACTGAGGCTGAGACCCTGGGCTTTCCCCCAAAGATAGTGGGGGCTGCCGAGAAGGGACCCCTCATGGCCTAAAGCCATGGCTGGACACATGGCTGGAGAGACCATGTGTCCAGCCATCCCATGCAGAGCAAGGACATCGTTTCTGTGCTGTTCCCATGACCCCCCAGCACCCAGAGCAGGGCCTGGCATGAAGTGGCTGCTGGACAGTGATGTGTGGGAGAGACACATGGGCCCCATAGACCCTGGCTTGTGCCCCCTCCAAAGCTGTTGGCCCCGAGCAGTGCTCAGCATCCCTGGCTGGCTTCCATGCTCCTTCCCCCAAGGCTCTCAGGGTTGCTCTGATTCCCTACCTCTTCAACACCCAGGAGAGCCTTGGGGTGGAAAGGGAGTGGGAGAGGCTACCCCCAGCCCTGCAGCTGCTCCCCAAAGGGCAGCCCGGGGCTCCCTCCCCAGTGGGCAGTGCTACAGGCCATGACTGCATAGGCTGGGGTGTTGGTGTGGGCTGTGCTGGGCCTCCACTAGCTGGCACCAGACAAAGCCGTGTTCCCATATTACACAGCTGCTCTGGCCTGGGGCCTGTGGTCCCTGAATTCCTGTAGCCTCAGTGAGGTGCAGAGGTCCCAAAGAGCACTCTGTCTTCTGCCCCTGCCAAATGTGGTGCAAGGCCAGGAAGAGGTACCCACCCCTGCTGGACCAAGGGCAGTGGGCCCAGAATACAACCACAGGGCTTATGGGCATGCCAGTGCCCACTGACCGGGGGCCCCAGGGCATACCTGCTGGGAACAGGGCTCCTTAAGTCAGTTCAGCAGGTGTGAGGGTCCCAGAAAGCTGAATCCAGTGAGGAGCCTGGTGTCTCTGGCTCCTAGTGGTGGCCGCCAGAGGATGTCCAGCCTAACCCTTGACTCTCTAGTAGGGAGAACCAAGGCCCAGATGGGTAGGGTAGGCATGGGTGAGTCAGGGGAGGAGAATGGGTTAGAAGCCATTTCTCACCTCCACTCCCAACACCTCGTGGGTCAGTCCCCCTGGGACTCTGTGTACCCCTGTGTCTTTCCCCGACAACTGTCCAACACTGGCCATGTGCCAGGCACTGCTCTGGGTGCTGAGAAAATGCAGGGGACAGGCCAGGGGATCAGAGGCAGACAGTGGACCGGAGGAGCAGGTTGCAATGAAAGGTGATGGGTCAGCTCACTGGGCAAGAGCAGACTGAGCACGCTGGGCGGGGGCAGAGGGGCCACCCTGCAGGGCCCTGAGCAGATGCAGAGGAGGGCCCGGACCAGCATCACCCCACTGTTCTGAGAAGGGGCAGGGGCAGGGGTTGCCAGGGGACAGCAGGAGGCTGAGGTGCCTGGGCCAGTGCGGATAGTGTTTGGGTCAGGATGGTGGTTGAGGAGGCGGTGAGAAGCTGCCAGATTCTGCATTTTTGAGGCCAGGCCAGTAGGATTTTGCGATGGACTGGACAGTGGTCTGTGATAGAGGGGTCAGTACTGACTCAGGTCTGTGCAAAATATCTGAGGGAAGGCCTGTTACTGGCAGAGACAGGAAGTGATGCAGGGGGAGGGGATCTGGGAGGAAGACCAGGAGCTCAGTTTTGGGTGGGTCAGGTTGAGGTCATGCCTGTCAGATGTGCAAGGGGCACTGTGGAGAGGCAGCAGCTCTGGGACCTGGGGGTTGTGGTTGGGGGCAACCAGAGCTGAGTGTAGACAGAGATGAGGAGGGCCTGCAGCCTCTCAACTTTGAGAAGTGGGGGAATCGACAGGGAATGGCGACAGAGACTGAGCCTGAGCCACTCCGGACGGAAGAGACCAAGAAAGGAGAGCCTGGAAGCCAGGCAAAGAACAGTTTGAGGAGGCTCTGCATGGACTGGGTGGAGGATGAGACTGCATCCCAACCACTGGATTTAGCAATCTGACCTTGAGGGGAGCACTTTCAGGGAGAGGCTGGGTGTAAGGACCCAATGACAAAGACAGTGTGACATTGACATTGCAGTCACAAGTAGACGTCCAGAACAGGGGAGTCGCACACATGGAGGATAATCTCCATCAACAGACAGGAGGCCGGGAGGATGTCGATCCCTCCTTCACACCCTACACAGCCTTCAGTTCCAGGTGGATCGGAGACTTGAACGCCAGTGAGAACTGCTATAGAGAGAAGACAAAGGGGAATGTCTTCACAAGCTCAGAATCATGAATTTAACCGATGCATATTTGTTGTTTAAGGAGAAAACACAAAAAAGTGCCAAACTTGAAAGAGACACTGTCAAGATAACAAAACAACCTGCAGATGGAAGTACATTTTTAAAAGGCACGCCTCTGGCAAAGGACTGACTTCCAAAATACTGGAGGATCTCTTAAAACTAGACAGTAAGAAAATGAACAGTCCACTAAAAAATGGGCCAATGGCCTGGACGAGCACCACACCAGAGACACGCAGAGGGTAAAGAAGCACATGAGAAGATGCTCATGCCACATAGGAAATGCACATCAAAACTACAAGACCCCACTACACACCTGCTAGGGCCAGAATCCAGCCCTTGACAGCCCGAACTGCTGGTGAAGACGTGGAGCAACGGGGACCGTCATGTCCACTGTTGGTGGGGACGCAGGATGGTGCAGCTGCTCTGGGCACGTATTGAACATCCACGCACATTCCATCCAGCCATCGCGCTCCTTGGTACTCACCCGAAGGAGGCAAAGACTCATGTCCACACGCAAACCCGCACATGGATGCTTATAGAAGCTGTATCATAAACGCCACACGTGGAAGCAGCCAAGAGGCCCTTCAGCAGGTGGATGGACGAACTGTGGTCCATTCAGCACAAAAAGGAAGTGAGCCATGAAGCCCTGAAGGTTCACGGAGGCATCTTAGGTGCATCTCCCTAATCGAAGGAAGCCACATGCTGTGTGATTCTAACTCTGTGACATCCCAGAAAACGCAAAATTATGGAGACAGTAGCGAGATCCCTGGTTGCCAGGGGTTCAGGAAGGGAAGGGGGAGGGCGGAACAGGAGGAGCACAGGTTTTCGGGGCAGGGAAACTGTGTGGAACGTGCATGGTGGATGCAGGACTTTGTACACTTGTCCAGACCCCTGAAATGCAGAGCAGGGAGTGAACCCTGATGTCAGAGATGGACTTTGGTTAATAATAGAACAATATTGGCTTGCCAACTTTGACAGCCACCAATGAGAAACATTAGTTGCGGGGAAATTATGAACATATGAAGGATGGGTTTACGGGAACTCTACCCTCAGCCAATTGTTCTGTAAATATAAACCTGTTTTAGAAATTAAAGTCTGTTAATAGAAAGAGAGAAGCACCAATCTCTCTTAGGGGAAAAAGGATAAATTAGACCGCATTAAAATGAATAACTTCTGTTCCTCAAAAAATACTGAATTAAGAGTGAAAAGGCAAGTCATGGTGAGAGAAAACGTATTCTCATTACTTTTTTTAGCATATGTGCTGCCAAAGCGA